CAGGGAAATGCAAATCAAAATCATAATCAGATATCATTTCATTCCAATTAGAATGGCTATTAATAAAAAGCCAAAAAATAATAAATGCTGGAGAGGATGTAGAGAAAAGGGAAGTCTTATACACTATTAGTGGAAATATAAACTTGTACAGCCATTATAGAGAACAATATAGAGGTGTCTCAAAAAGCTAAAACTGGAACTACCATCTGATCCAGCAATCCCACCACCGGGCATATATATCCAAACGACATGAAATCGTTATGTCAAAGAGTAATATACAGTCGCATATTGCAGCTATATTAATAAAGCAAAAGAATGGAAACAACCAAAGTGCCTGTATACATGAATTGATAGAGAAAATGTGGAATATATGCACAATGCAGTATTATTCATCCATAAAAAAGAAGTCGTGTTCCTGTGCAACAAAGATGGGCCTGAAGGATACTATGAATTAAGCCAGGCACAGGAAGACAAATACTGTATGTTCTAATTCATGTGGAAGATTAAAAAAAAAAAAAGTTGATCTCATAGATGTCAAGAGCAGTGGTTACCAAATGCTGGGGAAGACGAGGGGGAGAGAAAAGGTTACATAGAAGTATTAATTACAATTCACTTTGGTACAAAATTACAATTAGGAATAAGTTCTACCATTAGATAGCACAGGAAAGTGACAGTAGTTAATGCTAATTTATTATGTATTTAAAATAAAATAGCTTGCATGCACAAAGCCTGGGTTGAGTCCCCAGGATCAAAAAAAAAAAAAAAAAAAAAAAAAGCTAAAAGGGAGGACTTTACATGTTCCCAACACAAAGAAATCATAAATATTGAAGATGAAGGATATGCCAACTATATTGATTTCATCACTACACAATGAATACATGTACCAAAATACCATACAGTAGCCCATAAATATGTACAATTATATATCAATTTTTTAAAGTTATTTCTGATATTTTAAATTTTTCCAGTGACACCAATTAAAACCAGTAATCATTGAAGACACCTTAAAGTATTTTTTGTAGAATCATTGTGATTTTTTTAAAATGAAAATGTAATTCTTTCCCTTCTAGACCTCTGTAAAGATGGTGTATCGCCTACACATTGCAGTACTCCTCTTCTACTCCAAATCACTACATGTAAAAGAACACAATATATGAGGAATGTTCAAAGATGAAAAGCAACTAGGAAACAGCGGCTCAAGATGTAGGTAGAAAACTAATGCAGAAATGTTGCAGGCGGTTGAAGAAAGAAGCCAAGCAGGTAGGGATGGGGGAACTAGTAATATAGTAGGAACAGCCCAGCGTGACTACACACACACACACACACACACACACACACACACACACACACAGATTCTCCCTCATCTTGATGGTAGCTCCCAGGTAGGAACAATTAAGAACAGGAACATGGGTTGGAAAGAAGGGTCAAAAGGAGGCAAAATGATGGTAATGACTGAAGCTGGGAAGGAAGTTCATTATACTATTCTCTTTACTTTGTATGTGGCTAATAACGTCTGTGTTTTTTGTTTTTTRTTTTCCCCAGTGCTAGGGATCAAATCCTGGGCCTCATTCATGCTAGGCAAACATTCTGTCTGAGCTATATCCTCAGCTCAGAAATTTCTATTTAAGATGAAGAAAAAAGACCCGGGGCTAATTGCAGCTCCTAGGTAATTCTGTGAGAAAGGAAGGGAAAGAGAAGTTTTGGTAATGAGAGCAAAAAAGGAAGATTCTCAAAATGATCAGAGATGGAAAAAAAAATGATCAGAGATGTTGTTTCACATTTATGCAAATGCATGTTCGGTTTGTTCATAAACCCTAACCATTATCCAAAGTCAGGTACTGGATTGTTCACATTTTCTATTTTGTTTTGTTTCATTTTATAGTCTTCTTTTACCAGCTACAAGGTTGTCCCCAACTATGTACGTGTGTGTGTGTGTGTGTGTGTCCAGCCCCCATATTGAACCCAAGGGTATTCTACCACTGAAGCTATATCTCCAATCCCGTTTTAAAATTTCTTTATTTAGAGACAGGGTCTTGATGAGATGCCAAGRCTGGCCTCAGACTTGTAATCCTCCTGTCTCGGCCTTYCAAGTTGCTGGAATTGCAAGCATACACTACAACACCCAACATATATGCATGTACGTGTGCATGGGCGTGTGTATTTCCAACATACTTTCAATCTTGTACCCAACATATTTTTTATCCTATCTTGAACATTCCCTTACTCTGCTTTGGATTCTGGTTCCCCACAGGCAAGTAATTTCAATTCTGTAATTTCTTCTGGTACTAATCACCATAATTTTATTTTTAATTTCCATAATTTCAAATGCTGTGTTTACACTGACATTTTTAGATTTTCCCACTTTAAACATACTGACCCTCTACTATGGAAGATGAGGATTTGGTGCTAACCCATGCTTTTTCACCCTCTTCCCATGCACAGTTTTTGGTTCACTGCTTTGTCTTCTTCCCCTTTATCCTTTACTTAATCCAGCCTAATTTTTATCTTCAAACATACCACATACACAGCTGATCCCTTGTTACATAAATTTAAAAGCCATACTTTCGCTAGGCTCTTCAGTTTATAGCCTCATGGAAAGTTTTTCAGGTGGTAGTGGGGATCAAACCCAGGACCTCATGCAGCATTCACTCTACCACTGAACTACATATCCAGTCCCAAATCTTTTTTTTTTTTTTTTAATGGTGCTGGAGATTCACCCCAGAGTCTTGTGCATTTGAGGCAAGCACTGAGCTATATCCCCAGCCCTTGCATAAAATCTTAATAAAAGCAAAATTAGAAATAAGTGATATATATGACAAAATGAACAAGTTTGCAATTGTCTAATGATTATGTCGTGTTTGTAAATCAAAATTCTCCAAGATTTGATTCTTTATTAGTGTTAACTCAAATTTTCATTATTTTAAAATTTCAAATGTGGGGCTGGAGTTGTGGCTCAGTGGTAGGGTGCTTGTCTAGCATGTGCAAGGCACTGAGTTTGATTCTTAGCACCACATATAAATAAATAAAAATAAAGGTCCATTGACAATTAAAAAAACAAACAAACAAACTCAAATGTGTCTCAAACCAGGCATGGTGGCACATGCCTGTAATCCTAGCAGCTCAGAAGCCTGAGGTAGGAGGATCTTGAGTTTATTTCAGCTAGGCCCTAAGCAACTTAGCAAGACCCTGTCTTTAAATAAAATATAAAAGACCTGGAGGTGTGGTTTAGTGGGTAAGGACCTCTGGATTCAGCCCTGGTACAAAAAAAAAAGTGTATTATTTTATTATTTTATACAAAGCATCATTYTTCCAATTGGGTTTACCTCTCCATGTAGACTTAGGACCTTTATCTTTATCTTTGCTAATATCGACTATCATCTATCAGAGCCAAATTAGCATGCTCAATGTGTTTAAATAAATAATTCCCCTACCCTTATTTGAAAAAGCTTTGAAAACCAAAAGTTTCTTCCTTGACTTCTCATATAAATATATACAATTTTTCATATAGAGATATGTATATCTATATCTATCTATATCTATCTATCTATATATATATAGGATTATTTATAGCCTTTGTCCCACAATGTGTGACAAAATCAATGGTTCTTAACTGGGAGTGCTTTTGTCCCTCAGGGAATATTTGGCAATGTCTAGAGACATTTTTGGTTGTCACAAATGGGAGAGGGTTGCTGAAATCTAATGGGTAAAAGCCAGGAATGTTGCTAAACATCCTATAATGCATGGGAACAGACTGCTACAACCACACCTTATTTGGCACCAAAATATCAGTAGTGCTGAAGCTGAGAACCCCTGGACTAGACATGTTTTACTGAAGACACACTRTTAATCACTAAGGCTGCCTCAGATCCTTCTGAGGAACTACTCAAAAATCAGAAAAACTCTTTATTCCAAAACACAGCTGACTCTAGGAATTCAGAAAGGGGACTGTGGTCCCTATGTTACCATTCTGTTAATAGTAGGTTTCTGGGCTGGGGGACATAGCTTGGTAGATTGCTTGCCTGGTATGTGTGAGACCTTGGGTTTAATCCCTAGCACAGGGTGTGTGTGTGTRTGTGTGTGTGTGTGTGTGTATGTGTGTTTGCATGTGGAAAGTCAGTTTTCCTCAAAATATCACTGCTATGGATAGATATGGTTTGTCCCTCAAAGGTTCATGTTTAAAGGACTGGTCCCCAGTTATAGCATTCAAAGGTGTCTGGATCTTTAAGAGGCGGAGCCTAGTGGGAAGCAACTGGATCCTACCATCTCAGAATACATTAATGCCAGTCTCAAGAAGTGCATTGGTTCCTGAGGGAGAAGGTGGTAAATAATAAAAAAAACAAGTCTAGCTCCTCCCCACTCTCTTACATTCTGGCCCATACACGTCCCCTTCTGCAAGCAACTGCTTCCCATTTTGTTTCTCTGTCATGTTGTCAAGATGTCAAGGGCCCTAACCTGACATAAGGGCCACATTCTTTGGACWTTTCAGCCACCAGAATTATTAAGCCAAATGAATTTCTTTTCTTATAAAGTACCCAGACATAGATATTTTGTTAAGGCAACACAAAGACAATCACAAATCCCCACTAATGTGAGAAAGCCTTGAACTATAGCCCAAAGTCTCAGAAAATGGAAATGAGTATAGAAATTCATGGGCTGTAATAAGTAGGATGAAAACAACTTTATAATTTTATAATTTTCTATTACAGTTTCAAATAAACTAGTCTTCTTGTTTATTTTGTTTTATAGACAGGGTGCCACCATGTTGTCCAGGCCTGCACTGAACAGGGCTCAAGCAATCCTCCTGCCTTGGTTCCCTAAGGAGCTATGGCTGCAGGCACAAGTCACCATGGCCACCTAAAGTAGTGTTTTCATTAGTGCCTATATATCAGCACCAACTATTTTCTTGGATCTGTTCGTTGTTCATTCAGTGAAGGACCAACACAGGTAACATAAAATAATAAACTAATGCTGAGACTCTTAAAACCACAACAGCTATTTACCTTTTTCTGTGCTTGAGAATATAGAGATGATTTTATTCCTGGGCTTTTTTTCCTCTGGAACAGAAGGTAAAGGTTTCAAACTATGATTGGCTGACAAGGGATCTTTGCCTCCAGTGCTAAAAATGGTACTGCTCATTCGCACAGGAGGTGCTGGAGGCTTGTCTTCCAGTTCTCCGTTGTCAGACATGATTCAGAATTATGAAATGGCCTGAAACAGATAGGCAAACCCCCCAAAAAACAATTAATAAACAACATTAAAAAAAGCAGTATGCACAAGCAGAAGACAGTAATACTAATTCCCACACACTCCAAATTAGAAAATGTTATCCATTTAAAGTGACATCTGTGAAATTCGGGGGTTGGGGGAGAATCRATAAATCATGAGGGAGACATTTAAGAGTAAAATTGATCAAATTATGTTCTTACACATGCCCAAGTATGCCACAATGAAACCCACCATCCTGTATAATTAATATGTACTAATTTTTTATATTTATTTTTTAGTTTTTGGTGGACACAACATCTTTAATTTATTTTTATGTGGTGCTGAGGATTGAACCCAGTGTCCCGCACATGCCAGGCAAGCACGCTACCTGCTTGAGCCACATCCCCAGCCCATGTACTAATTTTTTAAGGGACAAAAATCAGTAACATATATAACATTGTGATTCTTAACAAAGGTAACCTCCCCTAACAAATTAGCAAATGTTTTGTTTTAAAATGTTACTAAATATTTAAAAAGCCAAGTGGAAATCATGATAACACTAACATATCAAAAGCAATGCCTGGGCTGGGATTATAGCCCAGTGGTAGGGTACTTGCCTAACACATGTGAGGCACTGGGTTGTGTCCATCAGCACCAAGGTATTGCGTCCATCTACAACTTAAAAAAAAAAAAAAAAGGCAAGTCCCCTAATCAATTGATTGTGAGATGGTTCCAATGGACAGACAACATGGAGTCTCAGAAAATTCCAAAGAGGAGACCAGACCAGACAATTAGAATATCTCTGGTTGGTCCCTCTTTAGAAATAGAGATGGATGCTAAGATATTAAACCCATAAACTATCACCCCCCTGTTAGGATTCCACACAAATCATTCTTGTGATTGATAACTTACCTTCACCTAAATTTCCCAAAAGAACATGCCACTGATGCAATGTTTGATGTCTCTGGAAATCTGATATTCTGTTCTACACACATTAGTCTCTTTTGGACAGTCACATGAAGCTTGACCAATTCAGGTACACTGTCAAAATTAAATCTAGAGCATAGAACCAAGGGTGGGGCCACAACCCCAAGGTTCTGTCACCCTGTCCAGGCAATCAGGTGACCTCACTTATAGAWATGGCCATTTTGGTAGAAATATCAATTTTGCTTACATATGCTTATATTTTATCTTTTAAAAAGGTGAGTCAAACATTTAAAATCGAGAGTAAAGGGAAGAGGATTCCTAATTTATACAAGTTCTGATGCAAAAGTTCATTTAGGAAACAACATATTTCCCCATTAAACAAGGTTTTTATTGGTATCTGATCTTGATTTGATCTTAGTATGTAATATATTTAAGTAAACAAAATTGTGTATGTGTATAAAAAAAATAATAATAGCACTTAGAAAATTGAGGGATGAAGAGATTATACCAAATTCTACTCCAAATCTTACAGCTTTTGATTCCCTTGTTAGAGTGTGTCACAAGCACTACCTGTGCAGTGAACTACTTTAGCACACTACTATCTGCTAAAATGACAATTATTTTTCAGCCTACAAGAAGAAGCATAAGAGAAGTTAAGGAGAAAAAGTACACATTTTGGGGGATAACCAGATAGAGAAAGGCTGGGGAAAGGAAATAAAACAAACACACACACACACACACACACACACACACACACACACACACGGGGAAGATTGCCTGCCTAAGGAAGCAGTAGGGTGGAAACTAAGGTAGCACCAAAGACATGCCTCAGATGATTCTTCTAAACCAGGTGCTTGCAGGTGGTGGGGGGCATGCTGGTTGTTTTCTTAAGGGGACGGGTGGGGGGGGGGAGGCAAGCAGATTCAACTGGCTATTCCTAAGTGTGGACTGCTACCAATGTGTACACTACCACAGGGGATCTATTTTGCTACAGATGGAAGAAAGATAAGGCTTAGTATCAAGTATTGCAAGGATTACTTGATGAATAGATACACCAAGATGGATGCTTAGGTCTTAATGTTCTTATAACACTAAAGCACACATAGTACTCCTAAAATGGTTCACTTTCCAGTTACAACAGAAATGGCACATAAAGCTACAATATCTGGATTTTGTATTTTATAATTCCATATTTATGCACACTGTTTAAAAATCAGAAGAAAATAAAAAATKTAAACACATTTATATGCACTGACAGAAGGAAATGCACCAAAATTTAACAGTGATAATCTGTGGCTAATTACTAGCTTTTAAACTCAATTACTATCATCAGAGCTGTGGTTAACAAAGTAATATAAAACAGGAGAGTACTGGGGTACAGCTTGGTTGCAGAGCATACATTCGGAATGCMAGAGGCCCTGGGTTCAATGAAAGAAAAGAAAAGAAAAGAAAAGAAAAGAAAAGAAAAGAAAAGAAAAGAAAAGAAAAGAAAAGARAAGARAAGARAAGAGAAGAGAAGAGAAAAGAAAGAGCCAGAGGGAGAGAGGAAGGGAGGGAGGAAGAAAAGGGGGGCAGGGAAGGAGAAAGAGAAAAAGGAAACACAAACACAGGGCACAATAATTACTTGATGTAAACTGATTTTAAGGCTTGTCCACAAACAAAACATAACTAGAAACTCAAAAGCAACTRAACAAAAGCAAATTAATTTATTAATTAATTACATAGAATAATACCAGGAGCACATTGTCCAGTTTTGTGGCTAACAGCATAGGATCTAGAATCTGCTTTGGTTGGAATCCTAGTTCTACCATTTGCTTAAATGTGTGACCTTGGGCAAATGAGTTAACTGTGCTTCAGGATTTCTTGAAGAAATGGCTGGTTATAGGCCTGAAACAGGGAAAATGTGAAGTGAGCCTAGAGCATCTTGTAGTTTTCAGAAGATAAGGAAGTACTTTAGAAGGATAAATGTGTGGGGCATGGTGGCACATGCATGCGATTTTAGCTACTCAGGAACAGAAATATCACAAATTTGAGATCAGACTGGGCAACTYAGCAGGCACTTATCTCAAAATGAAATTTTTAAAAAGGGCCAAGGCAGAAGAATGAGAAGTTTTGCTCCATTTGSATACAAAATGTCAAATGCATTCTACTGTCATGTGTAACTAATTAGAATTTTAAAAAACCTAATAGCTATGGAGAACTAAACATATGTATAATGCCACCCCTCCATAAAGCAGAAATGAAGACCATGTCAGTCAAACAAAAAAAAATAAATAAATAAAAGTAGATGGACTACAGACAATAGGACATATAACTTCAATAGAACGCAACTGACTATTCACATTGATCTCTAATTTTGTTGCAATCATAATAAGTGACAACTCTCTTACGGGTGCATATTAAAATAAATAATTTTTTAAAAGGCCCAGGGATGTAGCTTAGAAGTAAAATGCTTGCCTAGCATGTGTTAGACTCTGTTAGTTCAATCCCCAGAATCGCCAGCACCAGTACCAAAATGAAAAAAAGTGTGGAGTGATAAGGACATGTCAAAGAGACAAGGGACATAGGAAAGAGTTCCCAAAAACCAATGCTGGAATGATACAAACAATAAAATTAATATAGTATTAGATTACAACTCAAAGTACACAATAAATATACATCATTTCACATAGGTACAAATAAATGAATGGAGGACAAATCTGTATAGAAGAGTTCCAAATTTATATATGTAGATACATCTCTCTGTAGGAAGTTTAGATTAATTTTCTCTCTTGAGTATGGGCTGGATTTAACAATTCATTTGCAAAGGATGAAAAGGGAAAAATAACTTTGCAGTTAAACCTGGCAAATACAGCCAAGCAAATACAACTGGCAAACAGTGACCATGGTTAGCAGTTACCAGTTTTAGATTAATAAAACTTAATCCCTGATATAATGTAATGAGAAGCCACTTCACCTGTGTGTATTCATCCCCAAAACCCATAACCCTAGTGTAGTCATAATAAAAACATCAGATGAACCAAATTGAGGGGCCCACTACAAAATTCCTGACCAGCATACTTCTCAAAACTTTCAAGGACATGAAAAACAAAGAATAATTTTTAAAAAATAGTAATAGTAATAGTATTTTACGCTATGTAAATTACACCTCAGTGAAAAAGAAATAATACCTATCTCACAGAATAAAGATTAAATGAGCTAATAAAGACTAAAAGCTGCTATTATTATCTTTTTTTTWAAAAAAAAAAGACTCTATGATAGACACTGGGGAAATAAAAGATGACCTAGGTCTTAAGAGTCCACAAGCCAGAGAAAAAGACCAATACGTACCTGCTTAAATTAGGGTAGGCATGCCCTTTATCACTRCCTGTTCTCAATACATGCTTATTAAGTCACTCAGTTTCTTCAAAACAGCAATTTTCAAACAACAGCAATAACAATTCTTCAAAACATTCACATGCATAGCAAGAACTCCACCACTGAGTTATATTCCCACCCATTTTTTACATCTTTAAAAAATTTTCAAACAGGATCTTATGTTGGACTCAAACTTGTAATCCTCCTGCCTCTATTTTCCAAGTAGCTGAGATTACAAGCACGCACCAATGTACCTGGCCACTTTATATTTTAAGTGTTGAGGATTCTGTTATGCTTTGGATTTTAAATTTCCCCCCAAAGCTGGTGTGTTAARTAGGCTTGGTCTTAGGCTGATGGCATTACTAGGAAGTAGTGGAAGCTTTAAAAGGTTGGGCCAAGTTGGAAGAAACAGTTCTTTCTTTCTCCCTCTGGCTTTACTGGCCAGCCACGAAACAAGCAGCTCTGCTCCACCATGATGTTCTAACCTCGCTTTATAAGCCCAGAGGAAAGGGACCACACAACTATGGGCTGAAACTTATGAAACCATGAATCAAAATAAATCTTTCCTCTTTTTGGTTGATTTCCTCGGGTATTTTGTTGCAACGAAGGAAGCTGACTAATATATTCCAAAGAGTTTTTGTTTATGAGGGTTACACTTATATTTATTTTGTAAGAAATTAAAATAAGTTATTTAAAATTTAATTCACTTATAATAACAA